GCTTTGGAGATTGTGTGCTGGCGCCGGCTGAGGGTGTTGCTGCAAGATGTTTTTGATTCTGTGCGCTTTGGAGCGCTGCAAAGTGCCGCTGCAGTGTGCTGCCCACAAAGCCCTTGGCTATCTGGGGTCTATGTTGGTGTAATTTCGTGTTTGAGTCTCATCAAGCCATGCGTGAAAGGAACGATGGTGTGACTCACAGAGATCTAGATGCAGAGAGCCACGAAAAAACCCTTAAGCCGCATTTCTGGGTTGGTGCTCTGTTTCGTTGTGTTTGGGGCCGTCTCGGGGCAAAAACGGGCACCTCTGAGTAAGTGGGTGCTAGCACCCAGTTTGCCAGAAAAAACCTTAAGCAGGAGTTGTTGGTGCACTTCTGCGCTTTGTTTGAAGGCTGCCTTGTTGCAAAGCAGGGCACTTCCAAAAAGCAGGCTCCTTTAAGGACGGTTGGCTTTCGCTCCTCACTTCTCGGGTAATTCTGTTTCACGCGCACAACAAGTGCCCTTGATGAGACAGTCTTAATCTCCTTGGTCAAGCCTTTCTACTTTCCTAGTCTCCAACCGGTATACACTTTACAGCGTCTGCAGTCTACAGGTGAACTTTGCAAACTTGAAAAACTAACTTGGCGCCCAAGGTTGCTCCAAAGGGGAATGGAGACACATACCCGTAAACAATTTTTTAACTCTTGGAATCAGTCCCCACCATTCAAATGGTTCATGTAGTTCTTTAGCTTCGCAAATGGGTGCCTAGGTTTGCTTGGCGTCAAACCCGACGTCCATTAATTTCGTGAACCCAGACCTCATCGCGACCCTTGTGGAGAGATTGAGGGTGGCAACGAAGTTTGGAAAATCAGCGAAGGAGCTCCATTCTGACCACACAGCACCTTTGAACAGCTCATGTGTACAACATGCTTGGAATGTTCACCTAAACGCTTGCAGCCGTTCATGATTCACTAAATATGAACATGATAAACGATGCGGAATGAATGTTCAAGACCGGAGGGATGCGGAGAGCCAACTGTGAATTTTGCCGAGTGCATTTGTGGCACTTTTTGGGGTGCTCGCTGAAAAGGAGGTTGAGGACGCCGAAGGTGTGCTTCATCAAGTTTCCACGTGTCTCAGGGCAAAAGGCAAACGATTCCGACCTTTTAGCGCAGAAGAGTGTCGAAGTCGTGCATCAACGAATACATTGAACGTGCCTCAATTGCACAACTTTCGTTCTTGCGCTCAATACAAAAAAACATCCTTTGTCTTCCAAACAAGAAACCGATTATATATTTAACAAAAAGACTATTCGCTGTCTTGGTTTGCTTCGTTGGCTGTCCAGGATGGTTCCAAACCTTCGTTCTTTTCTCTGGCTCCCAGCCAGAGGGCATTCATTGACTTGCTGCCTGTGACCAAGCTGCAAGATGGGAAGGTATGTTGGTCCCAGCACATCACATTGACACTTGATGCGAGTGGAGTTTAGCATTCCCACTGGGAGGAGAACCGACAAGTTTGCGCCGAGGTTTGCCAGACTGGGACTTGGATGGAATATGACGGCAGAACCGTTGCACATGTCGCAGCAGAGAAGGCCTTTTCATCAGCGTTGACGCAGGCTGGGTGGATGTGGATGTGGGGATTTCAATTGCAGATCGGATTTGATTCTTTTGACATTTTGAGGTCCTCAAAGCAAAGTATGCCAGCGTGATCAGACCCTCTGTGAATGCTACATACATGGGGCTCCTTATCATGGACCACCGTGATATTGCAGTGAGATTTGAGGGACGATCTGCTTTGCATGATGCGTGTACTTTTCGCTGTCCCGGCTGTGTGGAGCCGCTTCTTCGATTTCACGCCCAAATGGATGCTGAAATGAACTTGACAATATTTCCCAAGGATTGGGATATAGTGAACCATCCTTGGATGTTGAGATTCCTAGGAAGTTACAACGGCACACGGTGTCAAGATTACAAAGCCATGTGGCTCGTCCAGCCGCTTCATCTTGCTGCCACACACAACTGCAGCGGCTGCTTAAAGGCTTTGGTGGCTGTGGCCGGAAAGGCTCAGCTCGACTCGACGATGAATCTGGGAACTCTGGAAACATGTTTCGCGAAAGACACTTCCCCTCCAACTGCGAAGCATTCTGGTTCGCAACTTGTCAAAGTTTCTTATGGTTAGCTTTCAAGCTTGAAGCTCAGTCGTTTCCCTGGGCCTTTCACCTTTTTTGCCAATCAACGCCTCAGGCAGACTGGAAACCGTTATTCCGGTTATTCCATTGTACACTCCTACAAGAACGACGACTCCTGTCAGTTTCGCGCATTGGACTTGGCGGTGCTCTTTGACTGTCGTCCATGCGTTGAGATCTTGCGCAACGCTGGGGCAAGCTCATCAGACATCATGCTGGACCAGAATACATCTCACGAGTATTTTCCGGCGCTACTTGGCAAATGGACAGAACAAGGTATTACTTTGCATTGGAACATGTATATCCAGACATGTCGACACTGTTGTCTCAGACAAAGAAACTGCTTTCTTGATTGAGGTTGAAACTCCTTCCAAAAGATTTGACTGTGAGGAGGTGCCGCTATCTAAATATGCAAAGCAAGTCCTCTGCTCGAGCGATGCTCCAATGGGTGTAGCATGGTGTATTACTCTTGCAGTTGTTGGCCAGAAGCGAAAACGAGAGAGAGAGAGAGAGAGAGCGAGCGAGAGAGAGCGAGAGAGAGGGAGTGTGTGTGTGAGAGAGAGAGCGAGCGAGGGAAGGGAGGGAGGGCGCCCCAACAAGCTCTGTTTTGTCTCAAACCTTGGGACAAGAGTCATCGCTCTCCGGCTTTGCTCCAGCACTTGATTAGACACAAAGTGCCTCTAGTGAATTTAGCGATCTTTCGTTTGAGAGTAGAAGACTTCGGCTCGCCAGGAAGCAATGCAGCAGACGCCATCTTAGTATTACCTCCAGATTTCTGTTTGTAGACGGAGGCCCGCTTGTCAGATGTTTACTGCTTTGTGAACAACTTTTTTGTGACTGGCGAACCATAGCCAGCGGTTTCACCGTCTTGAAAACGAAAAGTGACTCTCACCCCTTTACGTTCTTTCATATGGAGCGTCCCTTTCGGTTTATTCTTTCCACATTGGAATGATTGACAAAGGCTCTGAAGGTTTCTCTCGTGCTGAGCTGATAAGGCTTCAGCAGATAGTAGCGTCCTTGTTACGAGTAGCGATGCCCTTCGTTACTAGTAGGTTCTTGTTCCTAGTAGTAAGGCCAGGAGCTACTAGTAGCGTCCTTACTTGATTCAATAGTCAAAAGCAAGGAATTGGCCCATTGGCTAAGAAGCCAACCAGCCGGCCCGACTGGCTGAACTTTTCGTTTCCATGTTGGACAGCAATTTGGACAAGCTGCCGGATCGGATGGAAATGAGTGTGCCAGCCAGCTGGAGACTTAGGGGCGAGGCACAAGTGTCAGTTTTCTGGTGCTGCTGATTTTGATTTGTTGAGTTCAACAACGAGATCGACATTGGTCAAAGTCATTGTTCTGCTTGCTATGATGATTGTGGTGGGGCAGGGAGAATTAGCATTTGGCTTTTCTGTGGTTCAATTGCAGAGCGCGAAAAGCATGCATTGTTTGGTCACCCCTTTTGCCGCTGACTGTCCATGCCACTTGAATGAAACAGCCTATGAACATGCAATCGCAGGGTAGACAAAAAGGAAGGAGTCTTGCATCAGACTGGAAAAAGCAACTAAATAAGTTTGAGTTTCCACTTTTGAACCTCAAGGCCACTCTTGTCCATATCATACAGTGAGCGTTAAGTTATTTTGATGCCATTTCCTAGTAGTTGTTGAAGTTGGATGAAACGTAACAAAGTATAGTGGCATCTTTTTAGTGGCATAGTCATGAAGAGAGGTTTGCTGAAGTTCTTGTTTACGGTGGGTTTAGACCAGAATTGATAGATTCAATTGATCGAATTGCTGTGTCACTACAAAAGGCTCCCTCACTCCACCCACCTCTTTAAGTGCGTTAAAATCAATTGGTTGAGCATCGAGTCGAATTCGTTATTTTCATGGTTCCAAAAGATGATGTTTGTTGCTGCCTCTCAATCAATTTGGAGTAGCGTGAACAGTCATCAAGAAACATATAGAAACATGTGTCAAAGCAATACATTCGTTCTCGGCCATGTTTTCGTGTGCAGTTGGAACAGGTTTGTTCGGACGCCATTTAGGCACAAGAGTTGCAGAAACGAGCTCAGGTTCATGGCATGCAGTGTGGGCCCTTGAACCGCTTTCATATTGGTGCCGCGGAGCTGTCTGGAAGGATCCAGGATGACTGAGGGGTGGAGACTGGCTTGGAGGCCTATGAGCTTGGGCACGGTCACCATCTTCGAGGACCAGAAAGCTGCGCCGGGAGCGATCGACATGGTTCTTGGACAACCCCCTCTCACAGCAGGGACAGATCCGTGGGGCGACGGCGACCCGTGGTGGGGAGGCGGGGGCACTACGGATGGGTGGATGACTGACTCAGAGATTAGAGATTCATCCCCAACACGACAGCCTTTGAGCATGGCCGTAGGACCGGACAACAAAAGCACCAACCATACCATGGAGGCATTGATGGAGCTCGAAGCATGGACTCTGAGCGGAACAAGCCCGAGAAGCTGGTGATCCCCTCCTTCGATGGCGAGAGCTCCTCAGGTCGACGTGGGGAAGTCTGCAAGTGTGAGAAAGGTGCAATGTGAAAGGGAGCTATGTGAGAAAGGTGCAAGTGTGGTTGAGGTGCACGAAGACACGAAGATGCTCGCCAACAGGCGCTCACGGGCCGTGCTTGGATCTACGCTGAAGAGCTCGACGTCGACCGCCTGGCCACCGATGGTGGAGTGTCCTACTACCTCGAATGGGCGCAGACTCGCTTCATGGAAGTCGAGATCAAGAAAGTTTCCACATGATGGGCAACCTGTTCAGAAGGAAGCCTGAACGGTCCATCAGAGACTTCAATGTAATGTGGAGTTCGAAAGATTGGTGCTACGCCTTCGAGAGGTGCAGTGCGAATTGCCATCCATGGTGAAGGGATAGCTTTACTTGGACAAGCTGCGCCTCACAGAGCGCGAAGAGCTTGCCGTCCTGTCCAGCGTGAACAACCAGTTTGACGCCCGCAAGTTGCGACAACCTGCTCTTCTACAAGACCGAGCATTGAGGAGGCCTGGGCATGGAGGAGAGACATCGATATACATGGAAAGGAAGAGGCGCATGGAAGCAGAAGCGCTCGGCCCACATGACCAACCATGAGGACCACACCAGTGAGGAGCCCATGGGCGATGATGAGTGTCAGAGGACCTGGCGGCCGCTGAATACCAGGCATGACCTATCAGAACGCCAAGTCAAAGTATTGAGAGGCCCTGAAGGGCCGTGGAGCTGACGTGGAGGAGATCAAGAGGAGGTCAGCCGAGGGATCGAAGGTGGCCAAAGAACGTTCATACTGCTCGGTCTGCAAACGAAAGGGGCACAAATGTGCGATGTGGTGCGTTCGTGCTATGTCATGGCCAAGGGTGACACCACGGACGACGACTTCTTGACGGGCAAGTTGTTGGCAATCGTGGACACCGCTTGCGCTTGTCTTTCCATTGGGTTTTCGTTCTCTTTAACTTTAAGGTCTATTGGCAACCTTGCTGCAGAGCGAACTAAAAAGGTGCAGTTTTTATATGTATATATACAATTCTTGCAGCCTGCTGATTGGAGGCATTTTCAGCTTGTAGGGAGGCATGTCAAGGGCTGACCGGCTGTTTTGTAGAAGGGTGCAATGTCAGACATGCACCCTACCTTGGTACTTTTTAAATCTTAGTTGTGGATTTTTTCTACAGCGCCGTCGCCGTTTTGAACATATCGTCGAATTACACAAATACTTTTGAACACGCAGCTGCACAAAGGTATGCTCCTGACAAGCCGGAATTGTGACTTTGGAAGTACAATGTCATGTTTCTGAAATAACATACATGTTACATGTTTTGCTTGAAATATACATATGTACTTTGGAGAGTGCACAATATATGCTTTCGCAAAAAACATACTTATGACAGTGGAAATGCAGCAACGTTTTTGAAAACGCACGCTTGCACTGGTCGAAATACGCAGCTGTTCTTTCCGAAAATGCCCAACCGTATGCATTGGAAAAACAAAATTTTGGAATGTTCCTGCTTGTTGGCTGTTGAAAGCAAACTAATTGAACAAATGCTGGGGGGGTTTGTGGGGTGTGCGGGGGAGTATGGAAACGCTCCAACAAACTGGAAGTTGCAAGATGTCGCCCAACTCCCCAAAAACGTTGTCGCCCAACTCGTGGCGGAGAAGGCTTTGGCTTTTAGGCCACCCGACCGTCAAAGCATTGCTCAGTGGTTGCCCTCAGAACAAACACTTGAACAAATTGTGCCACGGCTTCTGAGATAGGTTCAAAACACAGCTAGCAGCATGCAAGTTTTCCATTTTACAATGGCAGTAACAATTCAACATATTTAATTTCACTCTGCACAATATTGCGCGACCTGTTTTGAATTTTGGATAAGACGGATAAGACCACAGCATGTTTTGTTGACTTGGAACTGCCGCTGCATCATCAGCTTCAACAGCTTGATTAGCATGGTCGAAACATGTAGACACACGGGGCTCATGTGACGCATGAGAAGATGACCTACAGTGACCTACAGCCCAGGTTTCCAGCAAACATGACATTTGGTGGCGGTGCGCTTTTGTTTGACCTACAATGTATATAGGAAGATCAACTGGGCCAGTTTTGCCCATTGTAGGCATGGCAGCGTAGTGGATTCTTCAATTCAATTAAATTTGAACGATTTCAACAACAGTTTAGCTAGCCATGGTGCTGGTCATAAGCCAAAACTCCACTGACGGTCCTTTGACGAGCAAAGGCACATGATCGACCAAAAGAGCATGTTTGTGCAGAAACGCAGAAACACTTGAAATCAAACAGGGCCACACTGGCCAACAGGTAAGCATCAATTTGTGCGCTGTGAAACATTGACGCACTGTTGGCCAAAGCAGTCTCGGAAGGTTTGCCCCATCCACTGCCTGCTGATCATCATGCGCCTGGCAGATGGAGGCAGTCAGAAGCATAGTTCCAGAGTGACAGAAACAGACAGTTGCCAGTTTCCCATCAAGCTCCTCTGTTTGCAACGCTGCTGACGCGGAGATCACAGAAGAGGCAGGAAGATGCTTCTCTTCCATCCATCCCAACTAGCGCTGATGCTGACAGGAAATCCGAATGACTCCCGTCACTGACATCAGCAAGTGCCCACTGTCGTGTTTATGCGACTGAATTGGCTCTCATTTGTCGAAGGGTGCTTGCTTTCCCAATGTGAATGCCAGATTGTCCAAGAATTTTCCACGGTCGTTGCCGAACGCAAAGATGTTGGCATCTAATCCAAGTGGCTGGGCTGTAGTGTTTGCGTGTCCAGTTGCCACTCAGATTGGATTGGGGTTGTTTTGCTCCTGAGGCTATGTGATCTATGCCTTCAAAGAGGGCTCCATTCGGGTCATTAACCAGAATGCAAAGGAACACGTTCGTGATGACAATTCAAAGGAACACGTCCGGGTCGTTCTGTTTTTGACCAACTTTCTCAGGAGCACTTCAGGCTGTCCAACTCCTCAAAGGCGGCCTGAGAAAGTGAGGGGACGGCTTTCATAGAATTCTCAAAGATGATGCGTGGCCTTATCAACCAGCCTCAACGGCACAGGTTCCCATTGTCGACTTAGCGTTGACACC